GGTGGTGGTAGTGGCGGCTAAGTTTGACCATTTTGTGATACATACATGTCCAGCATGTGCGGCAATTGGTCCCTTGACTTGCTGTTCCTTTCAATCCACTTTTGAAGTGGCATAGTAGCAAGATTTATTGAAGAAAATCCGGAAAATCACACCCACTTCCTTTAACTCCTTTGACCAAATTTCATTGATTGTTATTTGATCTATTCAGTGTAGACCACCTTTTCACTGGTTCCTTTAGATTTTCCTTTGAATGTTTTTCTGCTTCTTTATCGAAAACCGGGCATTTGACAGAAAGGAGCAGCCTTTTTCTGCGTAAGAAAATTACCACATCTATGACAACAACTGACTGTGGGCCCTCTTCTTGCAACGTTCCACATCAACTTCCTTCTAAGCCGGATCTAGTAATGAACTCCTTATTTAACTGTTGGCCTCAAGAGAGGTCTGTAATTAATAAGAGATATTTCGTCGTTGCTGCTCCGTTGGAAGTAGTGGTTGTGACCCTGGCGACATAAAAACCGTCTTCAATGATTACAATTGCTCCTTTCTCTTCGAACACTTTGAGTACTTTTAGCAGCCACTGGAAACTTGCCATCCCTCTTCCATGTTGTTTGCTCTTCTATGCCTTTCAGTCTCTACTACATGCCTCTCTTTGCGTAATGGCTGCAAACACTGCTCCTCCACATTCGTAATTTTACCGTCTCTAACCAATACCTCCATTGTTCCAGCTTTGCTCATCATCGAAATTCGTGTACTTATTCAGTGCGTAGGTACGTAGGCTGCCATTCCTGAAGCTTTCATTGAGAATCCTTGGACAGAAGTCTGGTATACCACTCACATTCAAACATCTTAACTTCGTCGATAAGCTGTCTTCACCATTCCTCTCAATTATGACCGGTCACTGAATGTCTTAAGACCTCAACATCTGCCTCATTAGCAGTTGGACCGATTTCAAGAGATCTAATTCACTCATTGACGACTATAGTTGGCGTATGTACGTTCGGATGAAGTAAAATTTCTGCTTCTGACCTGCAATATCCATGACGCCCCAGTTCTCATGTCAAACCGCAGGTGCACAGCGTAGTCGCTGGGCCTGTCCATACACCACTAACTCCTTCTCGTCTCCTCTCTCTCTGCATGTCAGAGAAGGCAATTGGCAACTGGTGGGTTGTCTTTGATAAGGTAACACTTGAGCAAGTGTCTCACTGGTGAGGGACTGTGTGTCCTCTCCATTACATGCAGCAAAATACTTTAAGCAGCATCGGATATTCATCACTACTCTTTCACATCTTGATTAATTGTTTGCACTAGACCAGCTCACACACGGAAGGAGCTGTGGGTACAAGTGCATAACATATCTGCCTGTGGCAATTCCAAGGCAAAAGCCGATTTTATTCGTACTTGTAATGGTA